CAAAATCTGTGGCATCTACCTAACCTTCATTTACCCCTGGGGACAGGTGACACAACAAAGAAGTTGCTTCGGAGAAATAAGCTTCTCAGAAGCTACTCTGAGGATACAAGCCACTGGCTTTTTGGCATCAGCCAGAGACTTGTTTTCATAATATCTCCCCGAACCCACCATTTTCTATCCCTTGGTTTCCCCATTCTGTGACATCTCCCACTACCCTCACGGGGACACTAGCACTCATCAAAAATCTAGAACTGGGGAATTCCCCGGCGGTCGAGTGGTTAGGACTCTGTGCTTTCACACCCGAGGGCCCGGGTTTGATCCCTAGTCAGGGAAATAAGATCCCACAAGCTACGTGGTGCGGCCAAAAAAATCCCCAAAAAACAAAAATCTAGAACTGAGGAACTATAATTAGGAAAAAGGTTGCTTTCTGAGTTTTGGTTGTTGTTTTTTTTTTTTTTTTGAATAATTTTACTACCTACCATAAGAGCAATCGTGCCATAATTATTCTTGTACAGGGGCCACGATTACGTGGGGGAGGGGGGAGATGGAGATGGGAACTAGAGTCAGAAGTCTAGACTGTCAACTGTTATTTTGCTTCCCAAGTTTTTGTGGTTCTTTAGTTCATCAGGTGGTTGACTGTCTCCGAGCAAACTGCCCGAGGAAGAATTCTCAGGATAGAAACTCTAATAAGAGAGAGCCCTGCTTGCCTCACACACCCTCCCCAAAAGCCTAATATTAGAATTAGAAAAGACAGCTAACACTTTGCTTATCTGATAATCTGGCCACCCCACACAAAATCATAGGCCAACAGAGTATTAGGTCTCAGAATCAGACTCTGAAAGTCAAACATTCCTGATCATATTACCATTCTCAAAAGCCTCAATCACTCATACACCTGCCGTGGTGGGATAAACATAGAAACTGCTGTTTGGATCTGCATGGGAAAGAAAAAAACTGTCAATCCAATAAAATGAATAAACTACTGGAAAAATTTGCATGCTGAATCCTGTTCTTACTGCTGAAATCCAGACAATTTAAAAGAATACCTGGAACGACCTCTAAGTAACTTCCACATCACTCAGCACTGGAGAAAGGGGACCAAGCATTAGTGGAGTAAGGGAGAAATGGGCTCTCAGAGAGACTTTGCAGACCACAAGGCACCTAGGCAGCCACTGACCATTGTTCTCCAATCTTCTAAAGTCCTAGAGAAAGAAAGCAAAGGCAAGTGCCCAGTATGTAGCTTTTAAAAACTTAAAAACTACTAGCGTCAAAGACTAAACCAATTACTGATTGGTTGGAATGTACAATAAGGCTGATCTTTAAGCCAATCAGAGTTCTGGTTGTTGGGAATTAACTAGACACTAGAGCAACTGCCACTCACTTGGCCCAACATTTTATTAAAATCGCTCAACTGACCTGGCTTCAGTTAATACATGAATCTGAATTAAACCAGCAAGGAACAGAGAGACCCTTTCTTTGTGCTCTACCTTTGCTCCAGTAAAGACTATTTAACAGTTTTGCCACTTGTTAATACCAGGGTTCAATTCAAGCAATTATTTGCTGGTATTCAGGATTCTGTATTCCTAGCTTTATCCCTTCCTTAACCGTGACTTATTTGTCCCACTTCTTTATCTCTGACCCCACACTTAAAGCATACCAAAATGAAAGTGAAGGCTGAAAGCAGTGTTTCTCACTGATTTGGGCTCCGGGTCAAAGATAAATTCCCATTCAGTTTGCAGGCTTTGTCTAGCTGCCTGCCTTGGAACTTCAAGAGAAAGTTTAGGGGGACACAAACCCAAGAATTTGAAACAGAGTGGGGAAGAAGGGGGAAAAGTAACCCCACAAGCTCTGCAGTTAAGGCCACAAACTCCAAAACACCCCAAGAAGCTGCAGTTAATAGCAACTACAGCAGCCCCCGGGATATGGATTCAGGGTTCAGTGCTTCCCACCGGCAATATTCATAGAAAAATAAAAGGCAAAATCCCAAAAGAGTTTACAATACCTAGGTACTAAGAAAGGGCCTACTAATAATTGTTCCTGCTCTCCTCCACCAGGAAAACAGACACTGAGAAGTTAAGATTATCAGCCCAAGGAATCAGGTAAGGATGCCCTTGGCTCCTAAGTCGATGGCTCCCATTGGTTCTTTTGGACCTCACTGCCCCGTCAGGCCAGATATATGCTGAGACACACAAGTACTTCCTCTATTGATTAGCAACTTGAAATCCTTCTATTTTACCATAATAAAGACCACCTACGGAGACCAAACTACTCCCCAGTCCAGGAAATATGACCAGAGAGCCTTCACTCAAGACAGGCATTCATGTGTTAGGTAAAACAATCAGCAACTTCCCAGGAAAATGTAAGTTCTTCAATTAGCTGAAATGTAAAACCTCTGAAATTTAGTCCTCTGGCTCCCCAAGCAGCTTTATCTATTCTGGTGGGCAGAGAGAAATAATAATCTTCATGTCCAGAACCCTGATCTATTTTGGAGTGCCAACTAACACATCTTTTATTTTAGCTTCTCAGCTGCTATGAGGGAAAAAGAACTTTATCCAGAGTGACAGGCAAAAAAACTGGAGTCCACTTCTTTTTCTGTAGAGACTCTAATGCGAAGGAAATAAAACATGTAGCCATTTAAAATGCTACAACCACGAGGTCCAACTTCCTGAAAGTTCCTCTCACTGTGCACCCCCCGCCGCCGTGGGACTGTGACAATTCAGGAGCAGCAGCAGTAGGATGCCCTTGGGCCACGATGCAAAGAAGGACTCCTTGCTGGACTTTACAAAAACAACCCGAGACCCATCAACTCCTGTGTCCCCAAGTGAACTAGGAGTAGGACTGTAACAAGAGACACGAACTTGGCCTAATAACTAACCAAGTCAGATAGTAAAGGGCATTTGTAAGAGATGTGCCTATCCCTGCCCTCTGCTGTGGCTACACAGGAGGATTCCAGGATATGTGAAAAATGTAAAACAATATTCCTCCAAAACGTCTAAGTCACCTCTCCATTTTCAGCCTTGAAAAGCTACACATAAACAAGGCTTTTTCTTACTAACAGAGCCCAGTATTGACCCTCCTAAGGATGCCTTATATGGCAGAAAGTCAAATGGTGATATTTTTATTTCACTGTTATTTTCCTTTTGATTTTTTCACATAAGTGGTATACAATAAACATTTACATTTTACTATGTCTAAAAAAGATCTATGTAAGTATACTTTACATATAAGTCTATTTCATAAGAATGCGTTTTTCAGTTATAGTTTTTTTTCTTAGTGGCAGAGAAAACAATCATGCATTTTACAACCAATGACATCTTAAAACTCCATGAAATAAGGCAGTTAACATCAGTCCACACCCTCCCTTGTTCTGTTTACTGCTACCAAATACCATACGTTTTTTTGTGACTGATGTGGTCACATTACGGCATCACCTGTTTTATGTTTTTTATGATAGAATATCATAAAAGAGCTGATTATTTTTTAATGAAAAAAATTTGCTTTACATAGGAACTTTGAAGGGAAACTCAAATTAAGGACAGTGCCTATGTCAGAGATTTATACTAAGTAGGCTGAGTTTATTTTAAATTACATATAGCCCAACTCCCTATTTATAGCACAAAGAACCACTGAACTCCTTCTAAACACAAGTAAATCCCTACAATTAATTTAAGTTCTGCCTGTATCGGTGGGAGTTTTGCGGCCTGTTTTGCAGTTCCTTAATGATGCTGATGATTAATTCTAAACACCTGGAAAGAAGTGGTTTGTGAAACCCCAAAACCAGGAACAGACAGAGACTAAGCTCTGGTTTCCTGCCTTCTCTGATATCCCAGGGACCTACTACACTTTGTCAAGGCTCTCAGCTCCTGCTCGCAACAGGTCAGGAACCTGGGACACTGGCCGTAGTAACTACACTTAAGCTTGATAACTATTCATTCTGCCTCCCTGAGTACCTCTGATGTTTCAAACCTAGATAGTTAAAAAAGGTAAAAATTCTCAGAATCCTGATTTCAGATCTCATGAACTAATCACCACCTCGAATCCTCCAGACTGAAACCATAACGGACTTGGTATAAAGACATGAAATATGTGGGAAGGAGACTGAGAGAATTGTAGTCAGTTAACCTGCGGTTGACGAGGACAGGGCTCCAAACTTCCAGAAGCTTTTCGTTAATTCTGCTCCAGAATTAGGACAAGTATGACTACCCACAACTGTGTTCCAACCCCACTTCCAATAACCTGCCTTAGCTGTAGCCAAAATCCAGAGCTTTCTCGAAAACCACTCACTCTGCAGCTCCCGTGCCGAGTCCGGACTGGCAATCTCGAGCCACTGCGGCTGCCCAGCAGAGCCAACAGCGCCCAAGCAGCTGCCCTCCTCCTTGCTGCTTAATTTAAGAAACAGCCCTGAAAGAATGAGGACCTTAGAAAGGGTGGACGTGTAGAGCACAAGACAAAACCCCTCACCCTTCTTTCTCTATCACCTTAGACTTCTGGGGTAACCGAGGGACCACCAGGTCAATAATGGAGACACACAATACCTCGGGCCCAGACTAGCGCTCGCTGGGGTATAATTACTGAGGAAAGGGAGTGAAGACAGCAAGAGCTTCGGAGACGCAAAGGGCTGAGACACACAGAAGTTAACAAGAGAAGGAAGGAGTCGGGGGCGATGTAAGAAGGCGTCATCACAGCCGCGCCGCCCCCCCTCCCGCAAAAGACCTCCGATACCCCCTTAGAGACCCGGCCTCTACAATGAGGACAACCTTCCTCTCTGCTGGGCAACAACGCCATGCCTCAGCTCCTCAGCCAGGCGGAAGCAGGAGAGAAGGGCAAACCTCGGAGAGCGCCCCTTCAGGGGGTCCATCCGGACTCGTTCTCAGATGGGGGAGGGGGGATTCTCGGAGGGCGGAGCATTGCCTCTGTAGGGCCTGCACCACGGCAAGGACGGGGTTCCCGGAGCCTTGGAGCTGAAGCTCGCCCCTTCCCCTACCCAGCCACCCGCTTACCTCTTCGCTTCCTCGCCGTCTAGCAGCTCTGGCTCGGTCGCCGCCATTACCACATCGCACTCCGCGGCAGCCGCCATCTTACCGCCGGGACCAGAGAGCCGGGTGGGAGGTCGGCGGTGAAGAGCACTTCCGGTCGGAGCATCGAGCAGCTCGGCGGCGCTGCGCCCAGAGGGGCTCCCTCGAGCCCGTCTACCAGCGAGAGGCTCTGATTGGGGCCAGAGCGGCCTCCCGCCCCCGGAGGTCCAGGGTGGTCTCCTCGCCGGAGCGGGGGCCCAAGGACGGTTTTTGTGCGTAGGGGGCGCCACTTTACCCGTGGGTCGGAAGGGGGATACAGGAGGGTGTCGGCTCTCTAGGCTTTGGCTTTCCTCAGTATTCTGAGAGCCTCGTTGCCACAACAACTTCCAATCCTAGAGAGTCTCCTGTGAGGCTCAGGGAATCCGAGTAGGGTAGGGACGCGGTGACCTTGTACCCTGGAGAGAAAATGCCCCCCACTACCACCTTCCCGACCTTGGAGTATGTCCACAGCTTCCTCCCGCGAAAGGCAAGAAGAGACACTCTGAATCCAGTTTCCCCAGCGTTCATCGGCCAAGTATGGAAGCCCTGACCAACCAAGCCAGGGGAACGCAGGGCGTCTTCACACCGCGCCTTTCATCCCCTCTGGATCTCCAAGCACCAACTGGTTCATCACCCTAATGACGCTGACCTTTTTAGGAGGCTGCTTTCATGTCAGCCGCCTGGGAATGCCATCTCAGCATTAAGCCTAGGGAGGGTGGCACAGGGCCCCAGACCCTGCCCTGGAGTTTATAAGGTAGCTCGCGGGGTGAGTTCCCTGCTCTATAGTGTCCTTAGTGCTCCCAACCCTCATATAAACTCTGTGCTCAGCACGCTTGTCTTGCCGATTGCAGTGTGGATTGGGAACTCAGGGCAAGGACACAGCCCTTCTTAGTTCTTCCCTTCACCCAAACCAATAATTTTTGTGGACTTGAATTAAATTGGGGTTTCCTGAGGTTAAACTGGGGGAGTTTGAGGTTAAAATTTTAAAGGGTACTAAAATAAGAATGGGTCAGAGGAATTTTAAAAGGATTTACCCCGCCCCCCAGACCCCTGACGCCCTCGCTTGCTTCTCCAGTAAAACAGTCTGTGCCGGGCTTCCCTGGTGGCGCAGTGCTTGAGAGTCCGCCTGCCGATGCAGGAGACGCGGGTTCGTGCCCCGTTTCGGGAGGATCCCACATGCCGCGGAGCGGCTGGGCCCGTGAGCCATGGCCGCTGAGCCTGCGCGTCCGGAGCCTGTGCTCCGCAAATGGGAGAGGCCACAACAGTGAGAGGCCCGCATAACGCAAGAAAAAAAAAAACAAAAAAACAAAAAAACCAGTCTGTGCCATTGTCCATAGGCCGCTTGCATGGTTCTTCCTATCACAGTGCTGAGGGAGCTGAAATCACACCTGGCACTGGCGAGCGGAAGATGGGAGAGGCTCAGGGGTTTGGAAGAGAGAAGTCATTCAGCCAGCCAGTCATTCAACAGCCCTCTCCAAAGTACCTACTTTGTGCTGGGTTGGGAAAGCGCAGACTCAGACCATCTAACCTGCTTGCCAATGGCTCATGGTCTACAGTCTAATGCAGGAGGCCCATCTGTCTTTAACCATCTTCCTCCTTTGTGTTCTCGGCATCTAAAACTCCCAAGTTATCACCAAGTCTTGTTGATTCTCTTACCAAATGTCTCCCAAATCTATCTCCTTTCCATCCCAATTCAGATTCTCATCATTTTTTGGAAAACTTGGAATACTACCATAGTCTAACTAACCCCAAGTCTCACCTCTCTCCAACCTTCACTCTTTTACCAGAGTGATCCACTTAAAAGCAAAAACTGATCATGTCACTTCGCTGGCCTAAGTCCTATCAATGGCTTTCCACTGCTGTTAGGATACAGTTTGAACTCTTAGGCCAGCACACAGGCCTTTGATTATTTGGCTCCTTTCTACCATCAGTAATGAACCCAAATACTTGTAGTTCCAGTAAATGCCATGACTCTTGCCGTATTTCCTCCACCCTTTCCTCCCACACCCTTCAAACTTCAACACGGACCTGACCTCCTCTAGGAAGGTTCCGTGGAGAATGTGATGCCCACTGCCCCCAAGTTAAATGCCCTTAGTTGTGCTCCCATAGCACCTCTGTAATAGTTCTTACCATGCTGCACTGTAATTATTGGTTTAGATGTCTAGCTCCTCTAGATGGTGACGTTCTAATGGGCGGCAACGGTGTCTAATTCCTCCGCTTTTTCTCAGCACGTGGTCCTGTACCTGGCACAGAGTAGGAGCTCAGAAGACATTGGATGAATAAATGACTGAGTAAACAAAGTGTTACTGTAGTAGCCTTTAGAGAAAGAACATATGGGCATCTGAGGCACCAAAACAGCACCCGGCCGGTCTAGGGAGCCTAGAACCCTGTGCTCTGGAGACCATCCAGCCCAGGTCCCGGCCGTCATTTCCCCGCCGGCCTCTGGAGGCGCTGTTCGGCTGGCGCTGGCTCTCCGCCGCCAAAATAGGTCTTGCGGGATGGAAGCTACGGGGCGGGGCCAGACAGAGCCCGGAAGGACCCGGAGGAAGGTCCGAGTGTTTGTGGCCGTGCTGCCCCACCCCTGGTCCCGGCGCGCGTAGAGGGGCCCGGCCGGGCTGCTGCGAGGGCCCCAGGAGTTACGGAGCTGGGAGGCCGGGATCGACCACTTTCCGGACGCTTTAGGTGGCAGGATTCCGGTTCCCTCTGGGAGCCCTCTCGTGGGGAAATCTGTTCTGGAGGCCCGCCTAGCAGTCGGGGTAACCCTTAATTGCGGGGCTCACTATATGAGGCCCCTCGCGGGGAGGGGGATCTGTACTAAGAGTTTACTTTGGAGAGGTTTCTGTTTAAGATCCATTTGGGGAGTGATCTCTGTATCTCTTCTCTGGGGGGGGCGGGGCGGGAATCCTTGTCTGGGGCTCCTTCTGGGAAGCCTGTGTTTGGGATGCCTTCGAGGAGATCTCTGTTTGGGACCTCCAAACAGAGAAGGGATTTCTGTGTCTAGGCCTTATCTGGGTTTGTCAGTTCAAGAGAAACAAAATTTTTCTCTTTTCTGAAGCGTTTTTTTTCTTAGATTCCTTCACTCTTTTTCTGTCTTTTTCATTTAACCGTGGCTTTGACTGGGAATTCGAGGGAACTAATTGTCTGGATAAGCCATACGGGAAAGCAAAATGTTCTTCCTAATTGTTCACTCTCCCCAGGAAGAGTGGTATAAGACAGATCCACACAAAATAATAGTCCTGCTTATTTCTCCATGGGGTCATGGTTAAAGAGAGGGAGCTGAGCCAGAGCTCCCTTCAGCAACTGGTCCTCCACATCCTGTGCACAGAAAGGAACCTGGCTAGTGGTTCCTTTAAACCAGCGACTCTCTTCCCCCTTTATGGCAACGCTTACCGAGCACCTGCCTCTGTGCCAGTTACTGGCCTCGTACTGGGAATAAGATGAGTAATATACAGCTAACTGTCCAGTAGTGGATACAGACACATCACTTCAGTGCATCCTGCCTAGGGTAGCAGACAGGGCCGAACGCCTGAGGCCATGCATCCACTTCAGAACTTGCGTCCTCAGTCAAGGGAAGTTTGCCCTTGGTTTTGATCCTGCCTCACCCAGTGTGCTTCCGTTCTTCAAGGTTGAAAGCTAAGCATGGGGAAGAGCTGCAAGGTGGTCGTGTGTGGCCAGGCTTCTGTGGGCAAAACTTCAATCCTGGAGCAGCTTCTTTACGGAAACCACGTAGTGGGTGAGTGTTGCTGGGAGTGAGGCGTGGTGGAGGAAGTGGAAGAATGAGGAGAGGATTTGATCACAACACAAAAAGGCTAAAGATCGCTGCTGCTGGTCATTACACCGAAAGATCCCAACTCTACAACACTGAGGACATCTGGAAAGAGAAAACCCAATGTCCGAGATAGGAAGGAAAAACTTCCGCATCACACTGTGTTTAGCAAGGTATCAGCGTGAGATTAGAGCTGTTCCCCCAAGTTATTCCAGTCTGGCCAGACTCGCGGTCTTTGGCCTTCTCTCCTCAGCCCCCGTGTTCCTTTCTCTCCCTGTCTGGTTGGCCTGTTAGGATATATTCAGTCACTCATGTTCCCAATCTCTTTTCTCCCTAGAAACAAGTTTTCTCCTCATTTTGTCTCAGGTTCTGAGATGATTGAGACTCAGGAGGACATCTACGTGGGCTCCATTGAGACTGACCGGGGGGTGCGGGAGCAGGTGCGTTTCTACGACACCCGGGGGCTCCGAGATGGGGCTGAGTTGCCCCGGCACTGCTTTTCCTGCACTGATGGCTATGTCCTAGTCTACAGCACGGACAGCCGAGAGTCCTTTCAGCGCGTGGAGCTGCTCAAGAAGGAGATTGACAAATCCAAAGACAAGAAGGAGGTGTGTGTGGGAACCCTGGTGGTGAGAGAGAGTGGGCCCTGGGCTGGCTTTGGGAGGCCTGGAAAGGCTCTGTTTTTCACTGATTTGCCAGGACGTGGGTTTAGAGCTGGAGGGCAGAGATGGAGGCCACTGGAGGGTGTCTTCACCCCTAGAGGTGGCCGTATGTTGAGGCAGCTCTACCAAAGAGGCTTCTCCAGTTTAAGACGTCCCCACTAGTCTTTCTTTATAATGGTTCTGTGCTCTCCCCTGTGAAGGCCCTTTTGTTCTCAAATCCCACTTTAAGCTGCAGGCATTCTGGGAGCACTTCCTCACCGGTTACTTTGCCAACAACTAACTGACTGCCAGTAATGGTCAAGCATTGGTGACACAGGGCTTGTAATGGAACTCCTCCAGATGGAGGCCCCCGTCCACAGTTTCTAATACAGGAAGAGATGAGACATCAGCCATTGAGACTTTCCCTCTCCTAGGACTCCGAGGTGGAGATGGTTGCTTTTTCCTCTCCTCCCTCTGTTCAAATTCTGGCCTCCATCTGGCACGCCCTCCAGGCGTTCCATTACAAGCCCAAGGTGGTCACTGGCCCTCCTGACCATTCCTGAGGTCCATGCTACAGCCACGGGCCTCTACTCTGTCCCTCTTCCCCAGGTCACCATCGTGGTCCTCGGCAACAAGTGTGACCTGCAGGAGCAGCGGCGTGTAGACCCGGATGTGGCTCAGCACTGGGCCAAGTCGGAGAAGGTGAAGCTTTGGGAGGTGTCGGTGGCTGACCGCCGCTCACTGCTGGAGCCCTTCATCTATCTGGCCAGCAGGATGACCCAGCCCCAGAGCAAGTCTGCCTTCCCCCTCAGCCGCAAGAACAAGGGCAGCGGCTCCTTGGATGGCTGAAGAGCTGCTTTGCCAGCCCTGGAAGATGGGTTGAGGGGAAAGGGAGGGGGGGGGGTTTAGGCAAGCTGTCCTTCCCAGTCAAGGGGGGAGCTCCCCACTAGGCCAGGCAGCTGGGCTGTCCCAGGCTCAGGTCACTTTTGCTCCCTCCCAACTCTGGGAAATGCAAATAGTCTAGGTTAGCGGTCCCCAAGCCCCCCAGCCCCCATCCTGCTGTATCCTAACAGCAATGGAAAGCCATGGATAGGATTTATGCCAGTGAAGTGACATGATCAGTTTTTGCTTTTAAGCAGGTCTAGGGTGGTTTTGGATCACTGTCCCTTCTGCCAGCCCTGGACAGGAAGCAGAGCTGTGTGTGGAAGTGCCCAGTCTAGGGTCTGATTCCTATCGCAGGGGTCTTACACCTCCAGGTTTCCTGCCAATCTCACACACACACACACACACACTCACACGCTTACGGCACCAGCCTGGATTCTAGAGAAAGGGCATCCAGGTGTCTCGTTTGTGTGTGTGTGTGTGTGTGTAGATGTGCACACGTGTGTGTGCTGGTGTTCGGGGCTCCTCCTCATCCAACACCCTGACCTCTCGCCTGTCCTCTCCTGGGCTGAAAGAAGCTGCCTCCTGGGAGCATAATTTTCTGTTTCAACTCTTCCCCCAGCTGTTTTGCTTCCCCTTCCTGCTCAGGGAGCATTTTCTTGGTTGAGGTGGAATGGAATGCCCACTGGGCTGGGAGTCACCAGCTGGCTTTATGGCCCTGCGAGGCCTTTCCCCTCTAGGGGCTTCAGTTTTCTCAGCTGTAAGGTGACGACAGTTGCTTAGATGATCTAGATCCTCTCCAGCCCTGTGTGGGTTGTATACTGCCCATGGTTGGGCTGGCTGCACTGTTCCCTTAGCTTCTCCCTTTTCAAGGTGCTATGCCTGTGGCCCTGGAGGCTGGGACACTGCTCCCCACCCCCCAACCACCAGGGGGCAGGAGTGCACTACCCGCTCTAGTTGCCAGAGTGGCTGCCCAGTGCCCGATCCTCGGACCTCACAGCCCTGGGGACTGGTCGTCACCCTTTCCTATGGTTGTTTTCAGCTGATAGCTGGACTTCTATTTATAGATTACCTGTGTTTATATGCCTGCCGCCATGGTGGAGGCTGGGCAAGGTGCTCGTCTAGCCCTCCCTTCTTACCTCAGATGCCTGAACAGAATAAAGCCGACCAATAGCAGCTTCTCAGGAGCTGCCAGATCTCTGGGGGCTCAGAAGGGTGGTTACGCTTCCAACACGCTGTAAAGTGAGCTGGTAACCCACAACTTCCCGTGCCCAGTTCGTGCTTCTGATGTACACACCTAGCACAGGTGAAGACACTACAGCCAGGTGACCTCCAGTACACGCCCCTTCTCCCCAAGATGGGAGAGGTGAGCAGGGTCAGGTGGCCCAGGCTGGGCGAGTTAGGGCCTGTACAGGCTTGGGCTTAAATTGATTTATTGATGCGTTGGACACAATAAAACCACAACTGTTATCAAAAAGTTTCCCACCCTCCCCCCTTTTTCTTGTTCTCCCATTGGAAACAGCTTTAAAAAAGATACAGGTGGATACTGGCAAAGTCCCATATTGTGGGGTGAGGGTGGCAGTGCTGCTGGGGTGGGATGGAGGTTATGACATTAATTTTGACAGCATGAAAACGGGTCTTGAGAGTGGCTCCGAGTGGATCCCAATACTCAGGCGAGTCACAGTGAGGGCGCCTTGGGGTGCTCGTGGGGGAAGGGAAAGCTGAATTGAGTGCTAGGGGCCAGTTTGGGGTGAGAGCTGGAAGGGAAAGCTCTTTGTTTGGGAGCCCTGAGGGGATTCGGTGTTAGCTGGATCCATAGTCTGAGGGAGACCCAGTGTCACCCCCCTTCCCCCGACCCCACCCCGAGAGCTGGGATTCAGGAGGAATCAATGAAAGGCTAAGAGAGGAGAACGCGTGTGAGACTGAGCACTTCCTCTTAAAAACTGGGCCCGGCCAGCACATTACCCTGGCCTCCCCATCGTAGCCCATCCTGTCAGAGCGGATGGAAAGCCCCAGAGGCTTGCAGTTCCAGCCACCCATTGGCTTTGCCCCACGTAGCACTGCTCCCTTGCTCCACAGTCTTCCACCACATCCCCAATGGTCAGCTCGTCCAGGTAACCTTGAACCCACTCCATCTTGAGACCCTGTGGTTGGGATGGCTGTGACTGTCCCCTTAGCTTCTCCCTTGAGACGGCCCCCTCAACACCAGTGATTCTCTAGAGAATCCAGTGAATGGGGAGGGCCTCCCCTCCCTGCCCCCAGGGCATGGGAATAGAGGTCGGGCTAGGAAAAGGTAAGATTCCTCGGACCTCGGGCCACATGGGTATAGGTCTTGAGTGGGAGAATGAGAGCACCACAGGGCTGGGGCTAGGATTTTGCATAGATCTTTGGATTTTCCAGTTTGTTCCCCATAAATCAGGATGGGAAATGGAGGGGAGCCCAGGGCTAGCCCTAGAAGCCTGGGGAAGGGAGGGTACAGATGGATGGTCCTTGGGCCGGGGGGCATTAGTTGAATCCCCAGTGCAGATTGAGTGAAGGGCTCTTAGCATTAGCCCAGCTCTTCCTAGATTGGGCAGGAATCCCTAGGCTGTAAAAGGCAGTCTCCTGTGGGATGCAGGGAACCCAGGCATCTTGGGGAGATGAGGGGGAGGGCAACTGCTGGGAAATCAGCCCCGGGCTCCCCAGGAGGGCTAATAGGGGGCAAAGACAATGGGTCCCGTGGCAGGGCGAATGGCTCCTGCTGGGGTGCGAAACAGAGCTGGGCCCAGGATCGGAGGCGGGAAGAGGGTGGTGGCTGCCGTAGGCGCAGGCCGGAGGGCCAGGGGCCCTGGGAGGGCACAGATGGTTGCCGCCGCGGTGGGGATCGGGCTGGGTAGGAAGCGGGCTGCCAGCGTCTTGGTGAGTTGCTTCTGCAAGGCCAGTTTAGACTGCAGAGAAGAGAGGAAAGGACTCAAGTCTCTGACCCCAGGAAAATCCCGTCCCCTCCCTGGGCCCCCTCCTTGGGCTTTTTGCTGCGGAGGAGCGGGGAAACGTGACTGTCAGGACTCCAAACCTAAATCCTCCTCCCTTCCCACCCCCAATCATTCATTCCAAAGGGCTTCTCCACCACCTGCCTTCCTGCCTGGAGGGGGGAGAATCTTAGGATGGGCCGAGGGAGGAGGCTATGGGGAGCGGGGGTGGAGATGGTCTCCGGGAGATGCACGCCCACGCCTCGCTGTTGCCGCTGATGTTACTACCTGGGCCCACCTTCCCCCCGGAAATGTTTCTGAGCAGATCCCCAGACAGCCAAAAACCCAACCCCAGCTCTTTCCCCGC